TGTAAAAAAGAATCAATGAGAAAAAAATATTATTTATTAATGAATTGAATGTCATCATTGAATATTCTAGGTAAGGAAAGGATTTTGTCCTTAAATATTAATATTTATTAGATTGAATTAACAAGTGTTTGTGAAATCACATGTCTAAGAAGTAAATTTTTCTTGAACTTTAAATGACACCTTTTACTGGAGGCGACTTAAAGGTATTTAGAGTTTAAAAGTAAATTTATAATTAACATGTTTAGAAGGAACAAATCAAATGTCAGCACTTATAAGGTTATTTCATTGCTCCAAATAGAACTACATAATGATATAATGATAAGAGATGAGATAAAATAATTATATATGGACTAAGGACACTCAAATTAAATGTCAAATTAAAATAAAATTTAATAAAAAAAGAAGAAGTATAGAGTAGTAGAGAAAGAAAGAAGATAGATACAAAAACTAAATTAAAGATAAAAAAAATTGTTCAATTCTTTTTACTATTTAACTATTCTTTTTTTAAAATAAAATAAAAATATATTCTTATTTATTGATTGAAAATTACTACCTATGAAATGTTATTTGTAATACCAATAAAAAGTTAACAATCACTTAAACTATTTTAATTAAAATTATTTTTAAATATGATATTATTTTTTTAATTTTTAGAAATATATTAGTACTAAACAAATATTTTTTTGAGAAGCCTAAAGCACTTGCCTTAGTGGGCTTTACACCAACGCTAACTCCTACAACACATACTTAACTTTTAAAATTGTGATGATTATGTGATAAAATATTTACACATATGTTTAAGGCCTGAATCTATCCTTGAAGTGTTCACATGCACTTTAAAAAGATTAGTTGAATCTTTCATAGAAGGTAACATATACCTTCACATACATGTAGGTAAATACATTAATTGTGTCTCTATAATTATTCAAATAATGATTAAGAGCTCATTATTTAACCTCACATTAAGTACTATTGCACACCATAAGGATAAGAAATATAGTGCATAAGAGTATTCATATGACTTTGTTTGGCCAATAATTGAGTATCTACTCTACTTTCCTCCAATAAATACTTTAAGCTCAAGTCCTCGATGTTATCTAGAATAAAAATTTTTTTGGGTAATTTTTTTTAAAATAATTAGTAAATTTTTTTCTCACTTTTTCATGTACTTAAGTGAAATAACACATTTTTAATTAATTGTCTAACAATATATATATATATATATATTTATTTATTTGAATATGAAATGATTTTTTTACTACATCAATAAAAAAAACAAGAAAATAGATGAAAATATTAGAAAAAAAAATTAAACAATCGAGTAAAAAGAACAAAAAGATAATAAGAATAATGTATTAACATAAGATTTTAATTGTGTGATAGGTAAATAATTCCTTAAAAAAATAAAAGATAAAAATGTAATAAAAATATTAGTAGTTAACTTTTAAAAACTAATATTTCTTCAGATAACTCTTAAAAAGCTATATTTTAAAAAATACAAGTTTGTTTTATTCTTAAATATGTTACAAGTTATGTTTACCAAACATAGCCTAAGCATGACATATGATAACACACATAACCAATAGAATTATTTCATTGATCATTATTTGAGACTTAATTTGCACTACAAACATTTTAAAATTATTTATCATAAAATAATTCATCATTGTGTTATTAAAATTTTCATACCATTTGTTTAAGAGTTTGCCTTGAATTATACAAAGATCTCTTCTTATCTTAACACTATAAAGCTTTTTAGTTACTTATGTACATTTTTTTCATACAAACCTTCATTTAACATATATCTATTTAGTATATAGCTAATTTATGGATTGTTACTAAAACTATTAAAACACTTTAGTAATTAATGAATACACGTAGACGAAATATATAACTTTTATCTAGTAAAAATATATTTTTTAATAAAGTTTATTTTTCATTATTTATAGCTCAACTCTTTATTAAAGAAAAAGAGAACAATTCAACAAATATTTTTTTTTTAAAAATATTCAAATGTGAATATGTAAAATCATTTTTTTCCAATCATATATGATTACATAATCAACAAAGAGGTGCTACTATAATTCAAATAGTACATAATGTTCATTTACGTAGTCATGTTTCTAATTTAAAAAACAATTATAATTATATATTCAAATTTTATGCAAATTTATTCAATACCAACTAGCATCCATAGTTACACAATAAAAACTTAAATTGGGTAGTGTACTTAAAACAAGAATATAAATTCCAATATCAGTGCAGTCTTATAACGACCATCATGCACAATTCAAATCAAAATCATGCATCAAAATATTTTTACTATTAACTCAAAAATAATATAAAAATTAGATGAATATGTGCTAGTATCAATTTATATTACCCAATGGAGTAGAATAAGTCACTAAAAAAATTAATTATAAAATCATTTATTACCACATCTCTATCAACAAATAGTTTTTTTTATAAATAATAAAATAATTCAATAATAAAAATAATAATAAAATTTTTCTTATAAATTAAAATATTAAAACAATTCAATAATAATCCATTATATTTATCCTAATAAAAATATAAAATTATTAAAAATAAAATTAAAGTATTCAAAAATAATAAATTTATATTTATTATAACAAATTTCCTTTTTTCTTATTACTTAACACCCACAACCGTCGCATTCTCCCTCTTACATTTTCGTTCAACACACTTCTTCACATTCTCTCACCAATTAATCTTTCTTATTCACACACTTTTTCACATTCTCCCACCAATCTCACCGGCACACACGACATTTCTTCACACTCTCTCTCATGCTCCCACAAATGATGTGTTCATTTTTATTGCAAGTGTGGTTATTAAATGAATTTTAATAGTTTATATGAAAATTACATAAGCATTTATAATAATTTTATTTTAATCAATTGTCATTATGATTATCATGTTACTTTGTTGTCTATCAATTGAAATTGTTTGTTGATAAATTAGTTTATTATTTAATTTTTATGTATTGTATGAATAATGACCATCATCCAAGAATAAATTTTTTTTTCTAAATAAAATTTTTCTAAGAAGTACACAAAAATGGAGATAAAAATTTATAGGGTCCCATTATTTTTAAAATTAATTTTTTTTTCTTTTTCTTTCTCTTTAAATTTAGAACATGTTAAAATATAAAAATATTTTATAAAATCTTTAATACTTTAAATAAATAATTCTTTTATAATAAACAGAATGTTAAAATTTTAAGAATAAAATAAAAACTTTAGTTTACACAATTAATTAGAGTAACTATTTTTTTTATGAATGTCATAGAGTGCTAATATATTTAACCTGTGTAATTATTATTTTTTAAATTTATTATTTGAAATCCTTTAAAATTTTGGCGACAACTATTTTTATCTTTATTTTCTTTTTTCTTCCATTTTTTATTTATAATTTTTTCCCCACTGCAATTTTGGTTGCAACACCCAACATTAAAATTTTTTATTTTGTGCCTTATGATTATGTCAATCTTATTCGCATTATTTCCACTTTAATTTGTCATAATTATTGAACAAACAATACAAGAACATAAAAATATACTATAAATTATATTTTCGTATCATTTTATTAACTTTGTGATGAATAAGAATAAAGTGCAACGATTTTTATCATTTAATGTGGTAATTAATTTATTATGAACATGACATTTATATTGCCATTAATTAATTCCCTTAATTAAAATTAAATTATCTTTAAAATCATTCGATCTATATATTTATTTCCTTTAATTTCTTATAAAATAAACAGTTATAATTAATATTAACCTTTTACATAAGTTTTCACATGTCAACTGACAAAATTAAAAATCTTTCAAAAGATTATAATTCAATCACAATTAAAAAGCAATACATGATTAAGGGCTTAAACTTTTTTTATGTTATTTAATTAAGGAATAATATATTACGGTAGTCACAAATTAAAATTATCATTATTTTTTTAAGAATAATTTAGAATAAATCAATAAAATATATTCTGTTTGTTTTTCTACATTGAAAATCCTAGCAATATCAAAGGATCGAAGTATAGTTGTCATGGAAGAAGTTTTACTTAACATAATGCTTTGACAGTTTTATTTTTAAAGAACCCAAAATCACTATCCACAGTTAAAATTAAACATAACAAAATGTGTAATTAATTTTATTCAGAAACTCTAACAGTGACGGTGATTCTAGCATCCTCCTTATCTTTTCACAAACTCTCTTATTAACGATAATCATAAAAACATTAAATAATATTGTTATTTACCTGATTAGCTTATTTGATGAAGAAAAACTTTACTTTAATATTGTTAAAATAATAGAAAAGAAAAATTATTGTGTCATAATAAATGTTATTGCCCTCCAAATAAATTTTGGACAGACTTTCAATCCAGTAGAACTCAATACTTGACTTGACTCACCAAAATAATAGAGGAAAGAAAATAACTAGAAAATAGAATGAAAAAAAATGAGGTTAAAAATTCTAAATTAGAGGAAAATTATACCCTTAGAGTTACAAGAGTATTGTAATCGTTAAAAATTAATTAAGATTGATATGATATTAATATATAAATTTATTTTTTATTATATATTTTTATATGATAAAATTATGTTACAACTTTACATGAATAAAATGTAAAAAATTACAAGGCTCTTGAAACTCTAGGGGTATAATTTTCCTGCAACTTAGAACTTTAACCTCATCTCTTTTTACAACTTTACATGAAGAAAATATATAAAAATATTAATTAACTTGAACGTGATAATTACAAATTTTGAAGTTAACATTATAAAATAATACATAAAGATAAATTAAATTGACAAAAGATGGGAAGAAAAGCCGTTAAGTCTAACAAAGCAAAACATGGGGACCCACGACAGGACACGGAGTCAGAAAGTGTCTTCTCTCTCCCATGTGATACACAGAATTGGCAACTTCAGCAACTTCAGAATCTCTCTCTCTCTCTCTCCGCACACACCTTGAGAAGAGATAGATTCACCGAGTGAGGAACACGATGCTATCATTATCTTCTTGGTTCTTCGCAGTGCTTCTATGCTTCTTAGATGTTGCTTTTGCAGGAGACCCTTTTGTCTTCTATGATTGGACCGTATCCTACACCACAGCTTCCCCACTTGGAGTTGAACAGAAGGTTGGTTTTCTTTTACCTTCTCTTTGGCAATTGTGGTAGTTAGTTACTTGGATAGTGTGGCTTTGTTTTCTCTTTCATGAGTCTATAGCCATTGGATGCAGTTAAGGCTAAATGTTGTTGTCTTGAATTCTAAGTTACCGAACTCAATTTGCTTTTTGTTGTGAGTTTGCATATTGCTTGTATATCTGAAGTTCTGTTTTTACGATTGCATTAATAATGGAGTGATAAACTGTTTCCTAATTAATGGTGTTGATTCTGTTTTAAGCAAGAAATAATAACCTTAATTTGGTAAATTAAATGTCATTTTATATGCCTTCTGCTTGTGTTTACTCAATTCTGAACTACAGTAACTATTAATTATTGTAAATCTCAAACGAATAAAGAGAGCAAATAAGCAAATTATCTGGTACCACCCTTAACTAACTTTTGGGTTCTTGAATTTTTGGCATTTAGTGATTATCTGCAGATCTATTTAACTCTTTCTTTCATGCTGGAGTCCAACCAAATTTAATGATACATGTCGGTATTTGTGGTGAATGGTTTATTTGGTATCCGATTATTTTTGTCTTTTTCCCCTCATAATTTTCACTAGTTTAAATTAGCCAAGTGTTGTCTTCAGATTATAAGAAGTTATTTGATGTCTATCAATATAGCAAATTTTAGTACTTTTGGATTTTCATTCGGTGCCTCCTTGTAAATCATCCTTTCTGGTATTTTGGGAGAAGGGGAGGATGGCGATGCGAAACCTTCTATTTCTAGAGTCAGTAACAAAATTAAATGATAAATAAGAAGGATATAAACAATATTAAATTTCTAGTGCCCTCAAATTGCTTTAAATTTCAAATCATGGATAGTCTCCTACTCTCCAATTATAATGGTAAGCTGAAAATCAAAATAATACTTAATGACCATGTTCTCATGCAATAATTTTACTCCACAGTTCATTTGTTATTTATTGATTACAATGTTGCTGCGAATCCTAGCATACGCCAGAACATTAAGGTTATCATCATATATTGTTATACTGTCCTGTTTTGTCTTAGAGTTAAGGTCCAAAACAGGCAGCTCCAAGTGCTGCAGTGGAGCATGGAAGGATTTATCTTAATGACATGACTTAGTGGGTTGAATAGCTGAAATCAGAGTTCAGTCTGAATAAGCTTGAGGGATTTATCTATTACATTTTTTCCTCCTTTTGCTATTCTTTTTGTGTCTTTGTTCAAAATCTTCAAGTGTAGTGTCACAGCTGTCAATTACGTCCATTCGATTGAGAAATCTAGTGAGTGAAGAAGTTACAGATTGGGAGAGAATGTACTAGGTAATGATCATATAAAATGGAATGACACCTGGACCTAATGCATTAAGTTTTAGGGTCAAGGTTTGGTTTCACTTTCAGCCCACAAGTATGGGTCCTTGCTAACCTTGTGAAAGTATATTTCTTCAGTTTTGAACTCTCCCTAACCTAATTCATCCTTAATGAAGATTCTAAGTTTCAAATACATATATTGTGATGTCTGTAATTTAAAATTTTAACACATCTCATTCATAAAAGCGTTATCAACCCGTGCCAGAAAACCTTCATCTTGTTTACAACATAATCCTTTGTGTGTGTGTGTGTGTATAATATAAACTTTGCCAGACCCATATTTTCTCTCTGTATTCTTCTTCCAACTGTCATGTACTTGCTGAGTTTGCATGGTTTGAAACGCTTCATAATGTGAATAAACTAGTTATATCCATACCACCAAAATTTGCAAGGAACATATGGATGAGAAGTAAACTATAATGTTGGATTAGCAATTACCCCCAAAATTATTAAACTACTGAGAAGCTAGCCTATAACCTTTTTGCCCTAGATATGCCATAACCTAGCAACAAAGCCCATTTTACTAACCCTTACAATGTGTTCTGTACCCAATTCCCAAATGAAAAGTAAGGATAACTCTCCAAAGTTTCTGGAGAAACCTGTTCATTTTCAGATATGTTTGAACATTTAACATTCTAATTGGCCCACATTGAATCTGTTTAGAGTTATCTTATATATTATACTAAGTGAACATAGTTTGATTCATTCATTTTTGTCAGACTTGTCCATGTAAAAAATGTGGTTTATTTGTACTTTTTATATACTGTATAGCTTTTGGTGTTTAAATGTTTGGTTAATACTCACCTATGAATGAGTTGTGGTACTGCTTTTCATCCCCCCTCTATTTGTAACAAATTGCTATTTCAGGTAATTGGAATCAATGGGCAATTTCCAGGACCAGTTCTGAATGTCACCACAAACTGGAATGTAGTAGTCAATCTGAAGAATAATCTTGATGAACCATTACTTCTGACATGGTAGAACAATTGTGTTTTGTCAACAATGATGATGTCACTAGTAATAATGATGGTAATGATTATGTTGCGTAGTTAAATGCAGGAATGGTATACAACATAGGAAAAACTCTTGGCAGGATGGGGTTTCAGGAACTAATTGTCCAATTCCAGCAGGTTGGAATTGGACATACGAGTTTCAAGTTAAAGATCAGATAGGGAGTTTTTTCTACTTCGCTTCCCTAAACTTTCAAAGAGCTGCTGGAGGATATGGAGGAATCATCATAAACAACCGAGAAGTTATTCCTGTTCCCTTTGGATTGCCAGATGGAGATATTACGATATTTCTAAGTGACTGGTACACCCGGAGTCATAAGGTCTTATTGCATTCAGTGACTTACTTTTGTAATTTTTATCTTTTTATTCATGGGGTTTTGACCATTTCATATGGTAAAACAGGAACTCAGGAAAGATGTTGAAAATGGGGTTGACCTTGGAATCCCTGATGGTGTGCTTATTAATGGACTAGGTCCTTACCGCTATGATGACAATCTTGTCCCAAATGGCATTTCATACCAAATAATAAATGTGGAGCCAGGTAAGAATATTCCATTCAGGTTTTTGTTTTTCTTGGTTTATAGGTGTGTGAGAAGTACCTGACCTGACAACTAGCTTCTCCTTAGAACTTTTATTTTGCTGTGGTCTGCTGTTAAATTTTTATTTGGCTGAAATTATCTATCTATCTATATATAAATTATAAAGTAAACCACTGTCTGACACTGAAAAGTAGTTAAAATATTATACAAGGATTCACACTCTATGTTATTCATAAATTGAGAAACTTTTTTACAGTGCTAGCAGGCAGTATTCTTAGACTAGCCTATGTTCAAAATTATTGGAATAGCAAGGAGAAAGTTTGGACTTGAAATAGACAAATTTTTTCTTATTTAAGAAGATAAAGATATGAGTAAAAGTTCTTAAAGAAGTTAAAGAACACAAGTATTTGTAGCACACAATTACCTCACCCCTATCCCTACATTTCCACAGCCTTCTCAATCTCTACCATTATGATTCTCCAATACAAGTATTTATAGCTTACAAGAATTTGCCTCCCAAGTGGCCATGCCTATACATTCATTATTAATTAAAATCATATGTCATAATTCTTACATATCATTTATCACAATTCAAAATTTGAATCTACCAATAAATTAGGAGACTGTAGATAATTATTAAAGCATGAATTTGGGCCTAACTTGACAATTCAAAATTTCAAACGCAAGAATCTCCACATTGCTCCAGATTCCATCTTCGACCAACAATCATCAATTATGAATTTAAGTTGATTCAGCAGGACTGAGTAATAAGATCAGAACCATTGAAAGTGTTGCTGTGAGGAGCATAGTCACATAATTCGCTCAATTGCGTTCCACGAATTGGATCGTGAGTACCAATTCGCGGTACCTCGGAGAATCAGATTGCTTGACTTGGCGTATTGTTTTTAACTTTTGAATATAATATAATTTTATACGATATAACTTCAACTTAGCAATACTGAGTCATGGAAATATCAATCGTCACATTCATTATAATTTAAGTATGAAAACGGTCAAATAAATTAAATATTAAAGAAAATAAAACGTTATTCACAAAGAAAAAATGCATGGGAAAAGACCAAAACTGTGAGTATATTAACTTGAATTAAATTATTACATTACTCAAGCTTTCTTTATGTGCATGGAAAAAGACCAAAACTGTATGTATATCCCGTATCAATTAATAATTTTTGGCGTACCATGTACCTAAACAGTGTACTGACTAAGTATACCCCCACGGACTGCATACTTAGTAAGGTAGCCTACTACGTATGCGTACTCGTACCACGTACCGGAGAGTACTGCAAATTATGTGACTATGGTGGGGAGTATTTAAATACCAGCGATGCCTCTCCGATGCAAGCTGGGAATATCATTTCTTTTACTTGGAGTTTCATTTTCAAATGTTCCGTTTCATTTGTTTTATCACACATGGTTAAACTCAATAATATAATGAGCTAAGAAAAAGGTCTTAGCTCTGATTGTAAACTAGAGTAATGGAACAATATCATGGTGAGAATAAGAGTTTTATGCTGAGTGATTGAAATCTGAGGTATCTTATTATCTGTCATTGTATGTTAGTGCTGAAATACATAGGCCAATATCTTGCCTGCAGAACTAGGGCAAGATGCTGTCTATGACAGACAAAATCCTTTGTACAATTTAAAGGGGTAAAAGATAGGTTAAACTGAATAATATAATGAGCTAAAAAAGAGGTTTTAGCTCTGATTTTAAACTACTGTATGGGCTGACACAATTTAATGATTGGCTGATCAAGTGGTTACTGAGTTTGTTTTTTATATGTTCTTTTATTTTGCAAATATATCTTGCTACCATTATTATTGTTGGTATTCTCCCATTTTTTTTTTTGGATAATGTTGCTCTTCAATACTGGGGCATTTATTATGCAATATTCTAGAATTTTTTTTCCAATAGATTTGTCCAAAAAATAAAATTAAAAACAATGGGATATTTAATTATGTCACCCACATTTAACCCCTCAAAAAATAATTTTCAGATACTTCAATGTTTTTAAATCTAGACATCTATCTCTACAATGTAGTTTTGGAAATAGGAGATAATTTAAAATTTTAAGCTGTAAAAGTAATTTATGACTTAAGTTTTAAGTTTTTTTTTTTACTTTTTCTGCACTCATTCATTGTCAACTGTTTGGCATATTGTCTGAAACAGGGAGAACATATCGCCTACGAGTTCACAATGTTGGTATCTCAACAAGCTTAAATTTTAGGATACAAAATCACAACTTACTTCTTGTGGAGACCGAAGGCTCATACACAATTCAGCAAAACTACACAAACATGGATATTCATGTGGGTCAGTCCTATTCATTCTTGGTTACAATGGATCAAAATGCCACCACTGATTACTATATTGTTGCCAGTCCCTGTTTTGTTAATTCATCATGGGCTAGAGCTACTGGAGTTGCCATTTTGCACTACTCCAATTCTCAGGGACCTGCCTCAGGTCCTCTTCCAAGTCTTCTTGGTGAAGATGATCCTTCTTTCTCAATAAATCAAGCAAGATCAATAAGGTTATTATTAGTACTTTGCCTCCTTTTGCCATTGCAGAACCACGGCTTGATCTCACCTGATAATATTATATTGATTGGAAACTTTTGCTTTGATAAATGAACAAGGTTAATACTAACATTTGAAGGCCTGATTAAAGACATTTAATTATATAACATAGTCAAGCCCCTAGGTTATTACAATTTATAAATGTTTTATATTATTGAGGTTTAATGGCGTTATGTGATCCATGTAGCCGACCTCACCTAGTGGAATAAAGGTTAGTCATTGTTATGATATTTGGGTTGAGGGCACAATACCAATGAAATCTTAATAATTAATTATATTTGTTGAACTTGGTTTACACTTCAGATTTTGTGGTTAGTTATAATAGTATTTTAAGTTCATTGAAATCTGATTCCTGAATGTTTAAAATCTCATCTGATAATGGTATATTATAGGTGGAATGTGTCTGCTGGTGCTGCACGTCCAAACCCACAGGGTTCTTTCAGATATGGTGAAATTACTGTGACAGATGTATACGTTATTCTTAATAGACCTCCAGAGCTTATAAATGGAAAGTGGCGTACTACACTTAATGGTATATCATATTTACCACCTTCAACACCCCTGAAGCTTGCGCAACAATTTAAAATTCTAGGGGTGTACAAGCTTGATTTTCCAAATAGATTGATGAACAGACCTCCAAAAGTTGATACTTCTCTGATTAATGGCACTTTCAAAGGTTTTATGGAAATAATCTTTCAAAACAATGACACCACAGTCCAGACGTACCATATGGATGGCTATGCATTCTTTGTTGTCGGGTAAGATTTTAGCTTTAGAACTTCAAATTACCATTTTTGTTTTTATCTATGTGACTCTAAATTTAAGAATAACAGTTGGTGAATTTCTCATTTGAACTGTAGCATGGATTTTGGGGTATGGACAGAAAATAGCAGAAGTACTTACAACAAGTGGGATGGTGTGGCTCGCTGCACTACGCAGGTATGACTGTCTTAATTTCTTGATCACAGCTTAATCTCTTATTCCAGGCTTTTTTTACTAGAAAAATATATATAAAAAAAACTAATTCTTAAAATAATATTAAATTCAAATTACTTCCCTGTTTGAGCTTTTTTTCACCATGTCATTACTATAGGTGCCATGCAATTTTATTTTTAATTTTTCAAAACAAGTATCACCTGTGTTGATGCAATACTGAAATTTTTCTTATTTTTTTTAAGATTGTACTGAAGGATGCGATACTTAATTTTTTATTATTTTTTTAAAGTATGGCCTATATAGCGGCCATACTTGTTTTTTAGAAAAAGTAAAATATAGCATTGTTGGTGCTACAACCAATGATAATTTTTTAGCAAGTGTACCAAATCGTTGAAGTAATAAAATAGATTTATCGACCACAGGGATTAATATCAAATACCAAATCACAATAATATTAATTGAGTCAAAAACTCAGTGGAATTATAAACAGAAAAATTAAATAAAGTGCAGAATGTAAAAGCATAAGTGCTGAAAAATTTAATTAACTATGAAATTAAAAATTTAGATTGAAGAGACTGATTATAAATAAAATTAAACTGCAGAATATGGTTAATTAAGATAATGAAACTGAGTTGTAAATCAACTAAGAAGTGGGTTGAGTTTAGAATTCCTTATCTTTTTTTCCTTGCATCAAATACATTTATAATCCAAAATACAGCTTAATCTAATGATTAGGTTTCTAAAATATCCAATCCCAATTCCTTGGTGACCGGTTCTAAAACGAATTTAACTTCTTAATCCCTTAGATAAACCAAAAAACATTGAACATTAAGATTAAAACTCAAATGACCACATTATTATAAACTTCTATTCTTAGATAATTTATAACAAACATTTTGATCCCAATCCAAGAAAGTTCACAACTTTCCAGCTATAAGCTTCTTTCATCAACCTCATTCACTTAAAATAGAGAGACATTAAGTTCAGAATCAAAATGTTAAATTAAAACTTATATCTTGAGTTACATTCAATGCTTATTTCATTGCAATGGGTAAAAGAATAAATTCATCCTTCCTCAATCCTAAGGAAATTAGCAAGACATAATAGAAATGAAGATGAAGATATTGAAATAAATTGCAGAGTGAAACCTCATGTTTAGAATAAAAGGAAACTACAAAAAGTTATAAATGGTGAGAATCACTGTTTTATTACAAAGTAAAGGGATTGGAGAGATAAAACCTTATTTCCCATCAAAATCCCATAGAAAATTAAGAAGAAAATACCCTAGCCATCATTCCTAAAACTGTACGAAAACCTAAATTTTTGCGTTTCTGAAATATAATAAAAGATGTTGTCTTTTTCAGAAAATTTTGTTTTTATATGCTCTATCCTCATAATCAGAAATGCATGTATACACAAATGTGTATAACAACAATTCAATTTCTGCTCTTTAAATTCAATTGTCAATTTTCTTCTAATCCCTTCAAAAATCAAATGCCAACCATCAATATTTGAATAATTCATCAAATTTACAGTAATCACACATTCTATTGAATATTCCAATTAATTGCACCAACTTATAGATTTAATTCAATGAAATGAACCATAAGCCCTTTAATTTTCTATACGAGTCAATGACTCATCAACCAACCACTCAGCTCGCTGGTCTCATAATCCCATAATTCAGCCATGCAATGCCGAAACAGCAGAGCCTGTTTGTGGCTGGCCCTCCAATCAAGCTTTCTGTTGTAAGCAGAATTAGGAATGGAGCTAATGGCTGGAGAGGTACGCGTTAGTGGTGCTGCTGCAGCTGCAACAGGAGTGCCCTTTCTGGGGCTATTGCATCATCTTTCCGCAACTAAAAAGGCAAAGGTGCCTATGTTGAAGGGAACTCTTCCAAGGCAAAGTATCACCTGCTGGTCTTTTCACCCACTGGTTCCATGACACAATATGCTATCCGGACATTAACTAATCAAGTTTTGCCACTACATAGGCGATACTTTAAAAAAATAGTAAAAAAAAATTAAGTATTGCATCATGTAGTGTGATACCTAAAAATTAAAAATCAAGTATTGCACCTATAGAAGCCATTCTTGATTTTTAAAAAATTAAAAAATTTGTATCGCACCTGCAAGTGCTATACGTGACATGGTAAAAAAGAAGTCTAGATAGAGAAAAAGTTTGGCTTTAATTTTTTTTTTAAGAATTAGTTTTTTTTTATATTTTTCTGGTAAAAAAGCCTTTATTTCATGCATTTGCTTAGGGAAATATGTGACAGCTATGTTGGAATGGGCCATTTTCATGTGTAACAAGAAATGGAAACTAAGATAAAGAATAGAAGGTGTTCACAGATTCAACCAAGAAATACTTCATTTGTGCTTGCTACTCTAAAATTTGTAGTTTTCCTTTTAATTTGACCATGTTACTTTGTCTACTCTGCTTCCTGTGAATCTGGATTCGATAGTAAGAATTCCCCTTGAACCCCAATGAATATTTGTCTTAAATTTCTTCACTTTACTATTTAAGGGAAAAAAATATCATGATGGCTTTCTTGCACTGTCTTCGCAGAGGCTTTGCAGCCAATTCAGCAAAGCAATTTTTCTACACACGTTTTATGAAACACTTTTTTGTTGTCCAATATAAATGGACATGCAATTGCAAGTAAATGGAACATGAATTTGATTTTCTCAGCAAGAGTAGCTTTGAATGGCCTCAAAAGAAGGGTTTATGCTTTATAACCACTTATTTTAACCTGTCTTCAGGTCTTTCCTGGTGCTTGGACAGCAATTTTGGTATCTCTTGACAATGCCGGTATTTGGAACCTTCGTGCACAGAACCTCAACTCTTGGTATATGGGCCAAGAAGTTTACGTGCAAGTTGTAAACCCAGAGAAAGATGATAATGAGAATTCTTTGCCTGACAATGCAATTTTCTGTGGATTACTTTCCTCCCTTCAAAAGTAAGACTTCCTCCAAAGAAAGCAACTTCATGTTTTTTCACAAGTTACATATTACATTGTAATAGGCTAATAAAAAAGTACTCGTGCTAATACAAAATATCTTTGGAAATAAAATTCTAATAAGTTTTCTCAAGATTTTGATAGAACAGGTTATAATGATTAGATGGTGAGTATTCTTGCAAGAACCGACCTCAGTCCTGTACCAAGATGGTCATAGAACCCAGATCAGCAAGAATGATTACAAAGCACTGAGCATTCGAGAGAATAATTCTCTCCCAGACACAATATAATTTGGATTCATCCTTCATTGATTTCTCTCCTATTTATTCAGTTACAAATAGGCTCCCACCCCTAACTAACCATTATACAGTTCGTTTGTTAGTTTGGATTACAATAATAGCCCAATGCTACTTTAATCCCCCAGTACATGGCTATGACTCATCTTGTAGACTCTTAATTGTGGGCCTTTTACTATAATATTTGTGCTTTATATGAAATAAGGATTTCATGGTAATATAATATATTTCAGTTACAATGTACTAATAGTTACTACAATGCTTGTCTCTCTTGTGCAGGGACCAGTCTCACAAATTCCAGTTCTCAGTGGGATCACCTTCCTGCAGTTATTCTAGAATGATGTTATTCATCATACTATTTCTAGCATCACTTGAAAGTTTATTTGGTATGTGGAGTGTTGAACATTAAGTCAACTAAAACACAGAAGGAAATTGTTTGTAATATGGCACAAGCCATTTTATTTATATAGGCATTTTTCATTGAAAAGGAAGTTTTGTGTGTAGAACATGTTGGACAAACTTGATGTACCCGTGTAATCATAATTGTAAACTAGAACTCTACATTACTTTAAAGCTTTTCTCCTGGCTAAATTTTATACCTATAATTTTGGCGGATCCTATGCCAAGGGATGTTTCTACCAGAACTGATTTGGTATGGGAAAGAGGTTAAATTACTTTTAAAATGGATAATTACATTGCTTCGTATAAGTAATTAAATTAGTTTATGATTAACTATACATGATATAGTATGTGTTCAGTGGTCAAATAGAGCTTTTAAGAATTAAACAATTATTTTTCAAAAATAACCTATACCAAAAATGCATTAAGTGGTCAAATGAGCTCATAGTTAAAAAATATATGCCCCTTTTTCCGATCAAGATCAAGGTAAGGTAGTATGAAGTACAACCACATAATTATACATTTATATTTGTTGAATTTATGATTGAACCAGAATTCCCTTTCAAAACCATATATCTTAGGTATAGAACTGTATGCATGCATGCTGTTGTATGGGATATAGTACAAATTTACGCAACCATTTTGCATGTTGATTTGAATTTGAGCTTTTATTATATATAACTAACTTTTAAATCAAATGTTTACTTTCTCACTTTATACATCTGTTAACTTTAAAGGAGTCGAATCTATTGCAAAAATGTATTTATACATGTCAATAAGCTCATTCAGGTAAAGGATGCTGAAATATATGTTGATACTAAATTATTTATTACAATATATAAAAGTTAAGACATGAGCTCATGAAACAGCGCCCATATTTCTTGAACTTCTATGCTTTTAGTCGCATAAGCAGATTTTACACATTCTTGCTCTATGGTTAAGTGTCTTTTTAGCTTTCTTGCTAATAACTCAATCTTTTACAAAAATATAACTTAACAACTTTAACAACCTTATACTTCAATTTCCTTTTCAATAACTTTCACATTTTTCATTATTATTAATTTTTCATTTCATTGACTCTATCAAAAGAGTTCATGTATATTATTCTTGTTAAGAAAGATAAATTTCTTTAAGTGAATCTTAATGGAATTAAAACATAAAGTTTGTCATATAAGAATTGTAATAATTTCAAGTCAAATGATAATATATACCGTTATCACACTAAAACCTATTTATGAGATTCAAGTAATGATCTACACAACATTTTCAAAGTTAGTCACTTTAATACGTCATTATGCTTAACGTGTATTTATGTAAGAACATGATATCGCATGATCTGTGACACTCAATCAACAATCTATTCACACATTCATTTTAACGTATTATATTATTTTAATATTAATAATTGATTAGGAAAATTTTAATAATAATACTAAGTAAGATCTCATAATCAAGTTATTTAATTGATATTATACAAAATTGGACTTATGATTTTAAAGACATTATTATATTTTTAAGGAAAAATAAATTTAAAATTATTTATTTATTAAAATAAATAATTGTGACATAAAAATATGTTCATACTCTTAGTATATTTACTAATGTATACGACTGCGAAGTGTAACGCCCTACATTTTATATTCTAAATATATATAATAATTTAGTTCCATTTAAATAAATAAATATTTTCTAATAGATTTTAATACGATAAAAATGAGAGAAGTTTATGAACTTTATGAGATAGAAACTTCAAAACTATTAATAAAAATGAAGCCAAGTGAAGTAAGAATCATTGAGAAATACGTATTATAATAATTTACAAATAGATGTTCAAAAACTGTAGGATTTATATTAAATACACAACTGAATTGAAATAAATCCTATAAACGGTTACTTTTTCTTTAAACATCAAAAAGATTAAATTGAGAATACAGAGGTAATCATTTACACCAGTCCAACCCTCTATTTCTCATCATCTTCTCCTAGGTAGGCATCTCCAGGGTCTGCCACCACCTTTATACTCGAAAACCTCTCAAAGGTATAGTAAGTAGGTCTATCAGAAGGATCATGGTCATGATAGGTAAATACTTTATTCATGATCCTTGAGGATCTAACAGTCCCTTGATAGACATAAAATTTGAGAAAATGGTTAACATGACCACTAAAGGAAAAATCAAAATTAAGGGATGGTATAATTATAAACTATTTCTAAAGTTAACTCTTGTCCATATTCTTCATTTACATCAAACCAAAACTGTACAATACGTATGTACTGCCTAAAAACATAGTCTAGTCTACTCTGTGCAAAATAATCTCTTAGTCTAATCTTCCTTGGTGGCTCGGTCATCCTGGTTCCATGAAATATATTGTAAGGATGAGCTTCTATTCTATCATTAACAGAATATATCATCATTTCAATTGACATATAAGCAAGGAATAATTCATAAAACCATATTCATCAACTATTAGTACAACATATATATACATGTATATATATATATATATATATATCATAAGTCAGCACACCATTACATATCCTTCTCAAAATAACTCATTACACTTCTCTTTCAGTTTCGTACTCCCAATGCATTATGATTACAAAATTACATTGCCTCTAGCATTCATGAAGTCTTACATAATTAGGCAAATAGTTGCTAGTTAGCCCATATACACGGATATAACATATACAATAACGGCCCCTTTAGCAAAGTCATAGTCAGGAGTCTAGTCAAGAAACAAGTGTGAGGCCATGTGATGTATTCGCTCTTAAAAAGAGTGTGTACAAACGTGAATATCGCTCATTACCCTATGTTTCTTCCAGATGTCCATATCATCTACGAATTTTATGTCTCTAGTTTATCTCTGTGATTATTTACACTAGACTTAAACATCACTTTGTGTCAATCTATATTCTCTTTTCATCTCATCCTCACCATACAATCTCAAAATCGTGCTTAATAAAGCACTTTCAGATAAAGTCCATGTTAATCACAGTCTCAAATTGCAGTTCCAATCATCAAGTTATTCATAATAGTATCATTAATCAATCATCACCACCAACATCTTTCATATATATCCCTAAACTCTAAATACTCATACTCATTCAGACATTTTCAGACTCACAAGCATACTAGTACATCTAGCACTTTGATATACATCACATATTGTCTTCACTATATTATATTCATACAAATCAAACAATCAAACAGATATATCGTTCCATTCTCACCACAAATAACAGGACTCACAATATATCTATCAACATTATAACTATACCACAATGCTCTTATGAGCACAACATATATTTTCTAATAGAAAGACAATCGATTTTGGAGGGGCTTATTTGAGCAAAGGAAATGGGATTTCAAAGAAGAAAAGGGAAAAAAACGTGAATGTCAATTTCCCATGCTTTAAATCCCTTAAATACCTATCAGATTTCGTGCGCTTTCACTTGAGTGAGGAATACCTCGTCTGGGCGAGACATATCTTATTTGAGCGAGATATGCAGACAATAGTATCCCCAACCATTGGCATTTACTGATATTCTCACTTGAGCGAGCCCATTCTCACTTGAGCGAAAAGATGTCTAGTTTCCTGTGAGTCCTCGCCTGGGCGAGATCCCATCTCGCTTGAGCGAGATCATTATCGCTTGGGCAAGAGGACAGTTGGGCCATGTCTACCCTGTTTCGCTTGAGCAAGGTTTATCTCACTTGAGCGAGAAAGCTCTAGAGAGTTTGGTTCAGACCGACTTCATCTCGTATGAGCGAGACATAGCTCGCTTGAGTGAGAAACTTTGCAGTAGAACTCTATCAAATGCTTAATAATTCAGTCCAAAACACCTTCTACTATTACCAAATATCAAAGAAATTCCTTAATTCATAATTAAATAAAAAGAAGTGTTACATGAAAGAGTCCAATATGGGATTAAAAATTTGGAGAAGATACCAAACGTAATGGAATGTCAAGATGCTAGATGAGTTATATACATTGTTAACGTGCTAAATGATGCTGAGTTTTGGTTAAGGAACACAAAAGAAAGGTTTGAAGTTTAAGGACACAAAAAATTTAGAACCTAATGAAGTATAGGTTGAGTCTCAAGTTTGTAGTGCTAAAACTCAACCTAACCTGACCCAATGACTTGTTGACATTAATGTATAATGACAACTTGAAACCTTAATTTTAGTTACATTTTTGCCTCCTCAGCCTCAAGTTGACAAGTCTTGATTTCTGAATATATCAACAAACAATAATCCATTCTTTCCTTCTATAGTTGATTCATCATATCCTCTTTCTCTCTCATGTGGTCGCAATTGGCCTGCCTTGATTCCTTACACCTCATACGAGTCATGACTTCACCTCTGTAATGTCAATGATGTTAGCCAATCCTCCTTCTTTAGTGTCTATTTGTTCCATCCAAGTCTTGTGCAATGTCAACAAAGTTGTCTTTGTTTGTTCCTTCCCAATCTTTGTTCCAAGTCTTTTGTGATGTTGACAATGACTTGACATGTTCGTTTGCTCCGTTCAATTTCTCCATTCAATTTGCTTGCTATATTTGTTTGTTCGCTTACTTCATTCACTTTCCCATTTTTGTTTTATACATGTTGTAGGTGCTAACTTAATTACTTAACACAATTGATTCATGGTCAGGTTAAGTCATTTTTTGTATCATAACTCACACAACTCAATCCATGAACATCCTAATTTCACCTATAACAACTTTGTAGGTGAGTGTATTTTGATTGCCTATTGATGCATGTGTCTTGTTGTGACTATTCCTTTGTTAACTTCACTAACTTTAATGTTACACAGTTAATTCTAAAAAATTATGTATTTGCTAAATTATATTTCAATTTTTTTGTCTTTTACCAACCAAAACATGTATAAAAAATACTTTTAATATGCATTTGAATATAAAAACATAAACAATATATATCATTTTATAATTAAGGAAATTAAACAACATATAACTCTAAATGTTTGTTGTGAAGCAATATATATCAATATATACTAAAATAGAAATTTGACTCTATTAAGCAATTGAACATAATCATGCATTTGATAATTTGACTCTATTAAGAGATCTTATAGATATTATTCTTGTTAGGAGAGATAAATTTCATTTAGATGATTCTAATTTTTTCATATGATTTATTATATGTCCAACTTGGTTATAAGTGATGTTTAATGGAATTAAAACATAAAGTGTGTTATGTAAGAATCATAATAATTTGAAGTCAAAGAATAATATATATTACTATTACACTAAAAATCATTTATAACACTAATGCAATGATTCTCACAACATTCTCATAGTAAGTAAGTTCAATACATTATTACTCTTAATATGTATCTAAGTAAAAATTTGATATCTTAAATACATAAATTGTGAGACTTAATCATCAATTTTTTCACATACTAATATCAATATATTATATTGTCTTAATATTAATATTTGACTAGAGACATTTTTAAAACAGTTCTAATTAAAATTTTATAATATATTCTCTTACTTAATATCATACAAAGTTGTATTTATTATTTTTTTAAAATTATTACATTCTTTAAAAAATTGAAATATTTTATTTATTAAAATAAATAATTGTGATATAAAAAATTATGTTTATTACATATATTAATGTATATAACTGCGAAGAAGTCTAACAATGGATTAAAAATTTGGAGAAGATACTCTAAACAAGATGAGTTATATATATTGTTGACGTGCTTATTGTGGATGCTTAGTACTAGTTAAGGAATACAAAAGAAGGTTTAAAGTTTAGTAACTGAAATTGACGTGGTAGGTATTTAAGAAAATATTTTATAGAAAATTATTTTTTGCAATTGTAACTATTCTTTTGTTAACTTAACTAACTTTAATGTTGTACGATTAATTCTAAATAATTATGTATTTGTTTAATAATATTTCAAATTTTTTCTTTCTTTTACTAGTCAAAATATGTATAAAAAAATGCTTTTAGGTTATATTTGATAAAACAAGTTAAAAACTATATTTAATATCATATAAAGTTGTACTCATTATTTTTAAGACATTATTATATTTTTACAAAAAATACATTTAAAATATTTTATTTTATTTATAAAAGACTCTTAGCATATTTACTAATGTATATGATTGCAAATGAGTTCAAACGAGAATTAAAAATTTGGAAAAGATAAAAAAAATAATAATGGAATGTAAAGTATAGTGACTACCTAAAACCTTAATTTTAGTTACATTTATGCCTCCTTGCCTAAAGCCTTCTCAAGTCAACAAGTCTTGATTTTTACAGACATCAATAAACAATGATCCATTTTTCCCTTCTATCATTGATTGGTCATATCCTCTTTCTCTTTCATGCACTAGGGATTGACTTGACTTAGCTTCCTACACCTTATGCAAGTTGCAACATGATCTTTGCAACATTGACATTGTTGGCTAATCTTTCTTCTTCGGTGTCTATTCATTTTTGTCCTAGTCTTTTGTGACATCGACACCATTGTCTCTTGTTAGTTCCTTCTCAATCTTTGTTTCATGTCTTTTGCGATGTCAATGACCATCTAACATGTTCCTTTTTAATTTTCAATTCCCTCATTCAATTTTCTTACTCCATTTGTTTGTTCACTTTCTAATCTTTATTTTATACAATATTGTAGGTGCTAACTCCTTTCATCAATTTATTCACGTACTAATATTAATATATTATATTGTCCTGATATTAATATTTAATTAAAGACATATTAAAAATATTATTAATTAAAATTTTATAATCAAATCATTTACTTAATATCATATAAAGTTGTATTTATTATTTTAAATATATTATTATATTCTTTTGAAAAATTATTTATTAAAATAAATAATTATAATATAAAAATATAATTATTATATACATTAATGTATATGCTTGTAAAGGAGCTCAACAATAAATTAAAAATTTGAAAAAAAATACTATTACCAATGAGATGTTTGAGATATATATATTTATTTATTTATTTATGTGCTTAGTTTAAAGACACAAGTTCAGCTAAAAGCTATTTAATTTTTTTTAGAGCTTTAAGTTTGAAAAATAATATTAATTATTTCATGTATATATAACTCTAATAAGTATATTCTTATGATAACTTAACTAACTTTAATATTTCACAGTTAATTTTATTATGATTAAAATTTAAAAGTTTGAAAAATAATACTAATTATTTTATGTATATCATTTTATTATGATAAAATTTTCCTCTCTTTTATTAACAAAACAGGTATAAAAAAAATACTTTTAATATACCCTTTAGTAACATAAATAACATATATTACTTTATAATTAAAAAAAATCAAATAACATATACTTCTAAATATTTATTATCTAACAATAAAATTTATTAAATTTTTTAAAATATGCAATTTTAATCTTAATTTAATATTTTTTATTTTTTTATAATATTTAAGAAATTTTAACCGAAATAGTTTAGTTTTTTCAACGAAATACTATTTCTTAAGGAGGGGTGTGGGATCCGACCCGGGCAAGTCGTGGATGTTGTTATACATAGTTTGCAAAGGAGAGGGATCCCGAGAAGCAGGAGGAACGGCGTTGCGACTCCATGGCTGCTCCGCTCTTGAGGTTACAGAAGCGTTCCCTCTGCAGCAAGGCGTCCTGGAAATGGAGGGTGAAGCAGGTCACAACCTCCAACTTCCAACAATCCTTGGAGGAGATTCAAACCCACATATCCAATTCCCACTTCATCGCCGTTTCCATCGACAACACCGCCTCTCCCTCCCCGCCCTCATGGCACCGCCTTCTCCCCTTAGACACCGCCCAAACCGCCTACTCCAAAGCCACGCGCTCCGCCCAACGCTCCCATCCCCTCCACTTTGCCGTATGCCCCTTCTCCGTCACCCCATCCAACAACCTCGTCGCTCATCCGTCAGTACCTCTCGTAACAAACACCCTTTCCCTTCTTCTTCTTCTTTCTTTTTGATTCAAAATTTTGTTTATAAAATTTTGGACGTGCAGGTATAATTTCCTTTTGTTCCCGCGAGATGAGTTGAAGATGGGAATGCCCTCATACAGTTTTTCGTGCCAAACATCGTCTCTGGCGTCATTGGCTCGCCAGGGTTTTGATTTCAATGCTTGCGTCTATGACGGTGAGGTTTTTCTTATTCTCTGCTTTGTGGGCTTTTAATGGGCCTGCGAAATGTCTGTTATCTTTCTCTTAATGGTTTTAATGGACCTGTGAGTGATTTCGATTTGTGCAACAGGGATATCTTATCTATCTAGAGAGCAAGAGTCGGTGGCTAAAATTCGTCTTGGAACTGCTTTCCATTCTTCCCTTGGTATGATGAAATCTTCTTCACCCTCTACTGTTGCTGATTCTGTTTTTGTTGAGAGAATTAGATCACGGATTAAGCATTGGAGAAAGACATGTAAAAGCTCTAACACCAACACAAGCCATGATGGTAAGAAAAATCTCCTGCAGATTCTTTATACAATTAAGGTTTTTCTTTTGTTCTGTAACTCTCATGTTGTGCAGTAGAACTTATCAACTCCCTTAAGAACATTGTCCTGGGCTGTGAACACTTCAGATCAAGACCTTGCTTGACTATAGATGTTTGCGGTGATCGTCAAGTGCAGCTTCTTCTGGAGGTATAATGAACTAACCAAATTTGTAGGATTTGTCTGTTTTAAAGTTATAAAATCAATTCTTGCACTCTTCAATAAAAAATGCATTTTTTAATAAAAATATGTGATTCAAATTAATTTATAAAACGTGAGTTTGAAGTATGTGATTTATGTTTGGATGCAATGAGAGTGGTATGACCTATTTTGGAAATCTAATTATGTTCTCTGTATCAGAGAATGGGATTGAGAAGGTCCATCGTGGTGTGTGTGAAGGCAAACCTAGTGGAATAACCGATGAACAAAAACGTACGCAAAATTGAAAATTCTACTTTAATAATGACATAAAATAATTAGAACATTTGTTGTTAAGTTATTGGACAAAGTCAAGAGGGTTCCAAAACCCTCAAATTTTAAGAGTTACCGGAGAAATACCCTTGTTCTAATTTGGATGATACAACCTTGATTTGGTATGAATCAATTTCCTTTTTTTCCTTTTGATTCTCGATTGTCACTTTGCAGATGTTGGTAGACTACTCAGATGATCTTCTTCCTTTGATAATCCCTGGAAAGAGTGGGACCACTCAGGCAGTACGAATTGTTTTGGCAAATTCAGAAGAAGATAAAGAGTTATTGGAGGTAACAAGAAACTTCTGCTCCTTGCTTGTTGCTACTAAGTCCTAATCTTTTCCTCTGGAAATAATTATGGCTTTACGCTGCAGAGAGCGCTTCAAAATTTTGAAGAGGAGGAGAATAAGAAAATTCGTGGATTCCGAGAGGTGATCGAATTGATTTCTGCTTCGCAGAAACCTGTTATCTCCCACAATTGCCTTAATGGTGTTTCTCTTAAATGAAAATTTCTCAACTTAGTTCTAGTGTTCTGACCTGGTCTACTTTCTTCGTTTTATTAACTTTTCATTGATTTATGCAGATTGTACACTAATTTATTCAAAATTCATTGCGCCACTTCCACCTGAAGTAGATGAATTTATGAGCTCCTTGTGCATGGTTTTCCCCAAGGTACTTGATGTGAATTATTTGATGAAGAAAATTGGAACCATGAGAAAAATGACCAACATTCCAAGTGCTATATCCTACTTGAATAATCATTTCTTTGCACCTGTTGATTTGGAAATTCCTGACCAAGGTCAGTCACTACTTCTTGATGTCTTCAACCTCTTAGTCTCATCCAAAATTCAAGTTCGTGCTCATTAGATGGTTTCATGCATTTTACTTGTTAATTTTGTGCAAAGCCTCGCGACCAGTCCTTTACAACTTGCATACTTAGCTAGTCAATATTTAGAGACATAGTTTTTGTTTATATTTCTTTAATAATTACTTTAATAATAATAATAATAAAGAAGGTTAGTTTTGTTTTCATGATTGGTAGCTGGTCTTATTTTCGTTTCCCATTTTTTGGTTTATACAGCTACAGTAAAAGAAGGCAAGATTCATGGACTTAATGCATTAAGGCTATCCTATTTATTTGTGAAGCTCTGCTCTATATTGAAAATTTCCCCAAAAGTTACTGAATCTGGCAGTAAGCATTTGGCCCCGGAGCTCGAAGACTTCACCAATGTATTTCATCCATACTCTGCTGATATCCAAGAGTTACTTAATGAGGATGTCCGCATGTGGACCAATAATACAAGAAAAGTCAGTTGTGATCATTTGATTTTCTTATGGGGATTCAAATCTGGTATGACAGCTGGCATGCTGAAGAGTGTACTTCGTGCATCCCATGATATCTTTTCGGGAGAGTTTGATGTTAGATTGGTTGATAAGAGTTGTGCCATTGTTGTTTTCTGGCAACCTGGGTTGTCAAAAGATTTTCTAGATGTAATGAATAGTGAAGAACTTAATGGAGACTTAAAAGAGTTAGTATCAGATGGCCTGCGGGTAACCGGTTATGAGACCTACAAGAAAATGTGTAGGCTAGGTTTGTGGGAGATGGATCTTGCAGAGTCCTTAGAAAGAGCCTTGGAGAGTTCTGCCTGTAATATAGAGAGTAATTGTGATAGAAAATCTTCTGAGATTCATTGGTTCGATGACAAAGTAATTAACTTGGATGATCTTTAAGGTTGTCATTAACCTATTTTTGAATTTTTTATCTGTCACTGACTGCAAGGACTAGACATTTTTTTTTTGTATGAAAAGTCGTTATGTATAAACTTTTGTATAATAAAGAAAGATAAGAAGAGAACAGAGAAATGTAGGATAAGATAATTGATATGATCGAGAAAGAAAAATATTGTAAAATGTGTTGAATGTGTGAATAAGAACACTCGTATGATGCTTGATGTTGTCATTGTGCAAGATAGTTCATGTATTAGGATTGCATTGCAATCTCGGGAGATAGAAAATGTAATCGTTCTATAAGGTAGTGTACGTATAATGTTTTATAACACTATTTATGTTATTATTTATCCATCGAGAAAATAATATTTTTATTTATTTGTTGATATAATAGTTTAAGACAACATTATATTATATTTATTAACATTCTCTTACTGAAATTTTTTTAAGTATAATAAATAAAGTATTTATATTAAGTGAGTACTTTAGAAGTTAAAGGGAGATAAACTAATAAATGGTAAGTTAGAAAGCTTATTAAATAATTTTAACAAAATGATTAGATTCTTTCATTTGTGTAATTTATTTTCAATAATAAGTACAAAAATAGAATTATATCAAGAGTATAAATGCTTTGCAAAATGGACAAGGTTAAGTTAGGGATGAATCGAGGACAAAGTAAAACTGGGTACTAGTCACTTTATACTCACTGCATCAATTATTTAGTTTAACGTATTTAAATTTTTAATTTAATTTTTCTAATCTCAACTTTTAAGATTGAGTTTAATAATTAAAAATAATATTTTTTTCATTAAAAAATATTTATTATGCTATAAAAATATAATAGATATTTTTTAATAAAATTGTATATAAGTCATAAGAGTAAGATTAAAAAACCATTTTTAACCTGGAAAATAAAGTATATGCAAACATGAATTACTTTTTTTTTTCAAAATATTGTGGTCAAAATATTTTTTTAAAATTTAAACAAAAATTTCAAATACAAAATAAATAAATACATGTTTATAATATTTTTTTAAAAGTGTAATAAATAATAAATAAATATACTCCAAATTCAATAAATAGGAATTGATTTTTTGGGACTGTTTTTATACTTTTGATATATTTATAACAGACATATCTAGTGAGAGCATGAGAGGTGAGAGAATTAATCTTGACCATACAATCATGTATATACCATTAAAATAATTTTAGTTACATATCTAATTTAATCCTTATACGTAAGTATTCACTAGAGGTCTAAATTCTATCCATTTATTCATTAACCGTCTAATCAATCCATGTATAAATTCAATTAACACATCCAACTATAAAGTACAAATTAATGAATGAATTAGATTGGATAACAATTGTAATTAGATAATAAATCATCTATGATATTTGATAATACATTAAGTTAAGTATTTTAAAATCTATCAATTGAGCACAGGTCTTTAAAAAATAGTCTTAGACTATATAATGTTGAATGTGTATAAATACTTAACTTTATTTTATAAAAACATTTTTTAAATATAATATATTTTAAATAGATGGATTAAATATTCATTCACAAAAAAATAATTAGTGGATGAACTTTTATTAAATAAGTTATGGATATTTTGAATTTTTTAAAATACATTCTTAATGGATCAAATTAATTTGTGATTTATTTTACTACGATTCAGATCAAAGTTTATCTAAGTCATCCATTTGAAACCCCTGGTATTAAGTGGTGTAAACACATTAGACAAAAAAATTATTATTTTATTTTAACATTTCATAATAGTGATTTTTTATTTGTTACATAAAATACAATTTCGTTCTCTTTTTTATTTATATATACCTACACTGACCAAAGGGGTTCAATTTACAAATGAATAACTTTGTATAAAATTCAAATTCCGTTAATATAATTATGACTCATGTAATGTTATTTTATCGTATACTAAATTAAATGTCATGTAACCTAATTATGAATGTTTTACATAAACAGAAAATTATATTTCTCATCTCTTCCTTTGAATGCATGTTATATTTTATAGTTAGAAAAATTAGAAACTTATTCAATCGTGTAAAACAATTAACTTATATAATGTGTATAAAAAAAGTGTTAATTCTTTGTATAATTTGATTTCTTAAGTGCCCAAAAACAATATTTTATTAGAGTATTTTCTTCCACAACTTATATATATCTTCTTAGAGTAAGATGATATGGAAATTTGTTTTTCCAAAATATTTAGTGTATTATAACTGATTTTGAAATTATCCCTTGAAATTTGAATATTACGAGGTTAGTAGAATTGAAAGTATTTAGTATGTTAGCTTAAATTTGAACACCAAAATGCTGTATCTGAATAATTTGGAGTCCAGTGACCTTAAAAAGCTATTGTTTTATTATATGTATGCGACTACTCAAACTGCATGTAAAGGAAGGTGTCGATCTTCAGGAAATTTGAATTTGAGAGGGGGATGGCGATTTCGTAAAATTTTCCTTCTACTCTTTTTTATAGCATTCTTTAAAAAATTTTGGTTAGTTATTTTATAATTTTTATAAAATACTTGTTATTTGTTAATGGTTTAAATAAAAGCGTTGATACTTTTAAAAGTTCATAACTTTTTTTAGTTTATCTTTTTTATTTTTTTAATTTAGTCCTAAAAATTGTTTTTTTATTTTCAAGTATCTCTGTTAGTGATTCATTAGCTTGCTTAGTTATTATTTAAGTTGATATAATTTAATTGATGTGATATGATGAATGAGGTGTGTCATTAAGAGTAGCATATCTTCTATTTTTAAATAAAAATTCTAAGTTATAAAATTAAATTTTTGAAATTGAAATTTAAGAACATAAAAAATTAAAAAAAAAGTAGATGCCATATGATCATGTACAAAAAATTTATGTCATATTATATAAGTCAACTTAAATACTATCTAACCATATAACAAAAAAATATTAACAAATTACTAAGAGAGACTTTATAAAAGTAAAAAATGATTTTAGGAGAAAAATTTAAAATTTAAAGATCGAGTTTAAAAATTCATGAATTTATGAATAATTAAAATACTATTTAAGCCTTCTAATTTTTAATTGTTCTTAATAAATAAAATTCTTAAGAACAGAGATTAAAATCAAGAATGATAAATACTAATAATAGGATTAAATTGAGGAATATTAGATAAGATAAAAGTACTATATTATATTTTTAAAATTTTTTAAAATTAATTGAAGAAGAAACATACCTTCTTAAAAAATAGTGTATATTTTTTTGTAAAGCAGTTACAATAGTTTTATTCATCAAGATCTGTGTGCCCATTATATTATTCAAGCACGCTTATCATGACATTATTGATCACAAAAGTATATATTTCAAAACATATTAAGATCTACTATAACTATGCCAATATGTTTGAATATAAACCAAAGCTCTTTAACTTGTGGATTAAGTGATCCAAATTAAATCATATAATTTTATCTAATAAATATAATTTAAGGCTAAAATTAAAAAACATTATAAAAATGATATATTTATTTTAAAATAAATTAAGTAAATAATATAAAAGAGTGGAGCTCAAATAGGACACCCATAGTTACTCTTAATAATAGCGTAAATTGAAACTAAAATCATACAGCAACAGTGTGAAAGATTATCTTCTTTTAATTTTTAAAATTGATAAAAATAACTGCTAATAATGAAATTGCAGAGAGTAAAATAAAAAATTATCACTATTAGTTTTTAAAGTCAATGAAGTGAGGTGCATGTGGTGCGGAGATGCATCATCTCACACCAATTGACGTGTCTATTATTTGCCAAACGAGGCTTAAAAAATAAATAAGAAAACCCGGTGGAACTGAGGGAGATGCAATGCCATAAATTTTCAATAAAAGAAGAAGCAAAATCTATTTTGGAGAATCGAATACTAACCAGAAGGTTGAGTTGAAAGAACCTTTTCTTTCACGAGATGGCGAGTTCTTCTTCTTCTTCTTCTTCTTCTTCTTCGTGTGAAGAGTATGATGTAGTGATAGTGGGGGCTGGCATCATTGGGTTGACCATTGCTCGCCACTTTCTGTTCGCTTCGGACCTTTCAGTCGCCATAGTTGACAAGGATGTTCCCTGCTCTGGTGCCACTGGTGCAGGTACGCACCACTCCCTTTTTTCTCTGTTTCCCCACTCTGTTTTCTCAACTTCAAATTCTTTTATGTCTCGCTAGTTCCATATAACAAAAATTCCACATTTTACTCTTTACATAAGTATACGAAACTGTTCTTCTTGCTTGTTTTTTTAGTTTTTTAATGATTTTTTTTAATTTAGTCTCAATAGAAAAAGAAATAGTCTAACGAAACCATAATCACACACGAATTTGAATTTGAAGGAAAAACAATTATAAAGCTCTTCTTTTATCTCAAGATAAAGATACTCTAAGTATTGATTAAAAAATATTTATTTTATTATAAAATATAAATATTATCTTTCTTGATAAAAATTTATTAGAATTGAATGTTTAAAATCATGTTTAAAGAATAATGTTATATTTTATTTATAATTGAGAATATGATTATTGTAGAAGTAAGAGTAATAAATATAGATTATTAAATCTTAGTTAAACTATTAAAATTAAAAGATAAATTGATCTGTCTTTAGATTTTTAGTTTTACTGTTTTGGGTAGGCAAGTTAAGGTGTGAGATTTGTGGTTCATTTTGTTTTATATTTCAGAACTAAAATAAAAAGGTATATTTTTATGCTTCATTTGATTAACTGTAGGATCTCATCCCCTTTGTTTTGGAAATTGAGGTGGTTCTAGGGCAGGGATATCTGTGGATGACACACAGAACACCTGGGAGTGGTTCATGGGATCTTACATGGAGAAGCATTCAACTTTGGAAGAAGCTGGCAGAAAGGCTAGAAGAGCAAGGGTTGAATCCTGCGGTGGAGTTGGGTTGGAAAAGAACTGGTATCATATCTCTATCTCATATCAATGTCTCAGATAATTTGAAGCGGCATCTTTTAATTGTGAGCCTTCAGTGCACATCAGGGGGCCTAAAGCCCAAGCAACTAAAGCAAGGACTTTAAGTCCTAAAAAACGGAAAATTTTTAATATTAATATATATTTTTAAAAAAAATTAAAATTATACTTAAAAATAATTTTTAATTAAAATAATTTAAATTACTCTTAACTTTTTATTAGTATTGTAAATAATATTTAATAAATAGTAACTTTTAACTAATAAATAATAACTATAAATAATATTTAATCAGTAACTTTTAATCAATAAATAATATTTTTTTATTTTTATTTTTAAAAAAAGAATAGTTAAATAACAAAAGAAATTGAATAGTTTTTAATCTTTTATGTAGTTATATTTATCTTCTTCTTTTTTCTAATTTTTTACTTTGTTCTTATTGAATATTTGCTTTGATTTGATATTTAATTTGAATGTTATTAATTAATATTTAATTATTTTGTATCTCATCTCTTATTATTGTGTCACTATATATTTCTATTTTGAACGATGCATGGATTAATATTTATACCTTAAAAAATCTTTACATACTTTCTTAGATATTAATAGATTAAATTTATTTTTATAATTAAATATCTTAAAAGAAATTAAAAAATATAAACTAATTGAAATTTTTAATTAAAGAAAAAGAATAAATTCTTTTTCAAATATATATATAATTTATGAAATAATATTAACGATTACTTCAGCTGAAAAAATTTGTCAAAGTTAAAATTAATAAAATTTTATCTGACATTAATAATATCTTAACGAAAATTAATCAGATTGAACTTATTATTTATTAAAAAAATATTAAATAAAATTAATTACGATAATTTTATATATAATTTTTATCAAGTTTAAAAAATAAATTTTAAATAAAATTTTAATAATTTTAATAAATTATTTTATTAATGAAAAAAAGCCATCATTTTTTAGTTTAAGTTTGCTTTAGGCCGAAAATCCTTGAGCCGTGCTAGTGCACATGCTTTATTGTAGGAATTGGGTGAGCAAAACGAAGTTTCTGGTTATTATAATTATAAATTACCATTGTATATATGCAGTTGCTCAATCACATTATATCGAACCCTGCTCCACAAACAAAAAACACACAAAGTATATTTAGTTTTGTAGGAAGTTTTAGTTTAGATGTCTTCTTTTTGTTTGAAAGCATGCATGCTTACATACATGGCTCCATGCTTCCTTTGAAGGGACATGTTCAAGGCCATTCCCTCTTCAACCCCAAAGATTATCTTGCTGTGGGGAGGAACGAAAAATGGTGTGCCTTGCACCTTTCCATATCTTTAGCTTCTATATTTTGGTGCCATGATGCAACAAATCTTATGATTTTCTGAAAGCACTTTTTTTATGTCAGAGAAAAACAGATAGAAAGAGAAATGCTATGTTGATTTGTGAGAAGCTAGACAACTTTAAGTTTTTAAAATTGATATAGAATTAAACAACTGATTGGTTGATGGGAAAAACTGAAAAGAATTCATAATAACAATAATAATATAATTATATAGGTAGTAGCATGTTTGATATTATTATATGTGCGATCATATTATGTTGAATACGAGATGCTAATTGGTTGATATGGATTATCTTGAAGCAATTAAGGTATGTCTGAACTTTCAGTCTCAAGTGTCATGCAAAGTAATATGCAGGAGGCTCTCATATTAATGATCATGAAAATTTTATGTCTCTCATCTCTCCATTGATCGAAACTATTGTGTGGCATTTATCTACAGGGAGCCTCCTAGTTGGTAGAACTCGTGCAGAGTCAGACATGCTAAAAAGGAGGGTGAAACAACTTAGTGAGGCAGGGTTGAAAGCTAAGTACCTTTGTAGCAATGATTTGCTTAAACAAGAACCTGATCTGTTTGTGGACGAAGACAGTGCAGCTGCATTTCTACCAGATGATTGCCAGTTGGATGCTCATCGTACTGTTGCATATATTGAAAAGGTTTGTGTTCTTAGTTCATTCTTTGCATATCCTTTACTTGCAACTTGTAAATAATTATACCATTTTCATTTTTCTTTGAACTAAAGACTTGCCACAGTTCTGCTATATGACTGCAAACATATAGTCACAAATTTATTGTTGATGTGTAGGCTAACAGGAATTTTGCATCAAAAGGAAGATATAGAGAATTTTATGCTGACCCAGTGAAATGTTTCATCAGGTATAATTTTTTTTCTTCTTTCTGTTGCACTAACCATGAAACTAAAAGTGATGGTTGGGAAACAAATCTTGTGGATATTTAAAGCTTTGTTTCATTTTGTGATCAGGTCAGATAGCAATGGGGAGGTCAAAGCTGTTCAGACTTCCAAGAATACATTATACAGCAAGAAGGCAGTTATAGTTGCAGCTGGTTGTTGGACTGATTGTTTGATACAGGAGTTGTTTAGAAATTGGGGAATGGAATTACACGTTCCAATAAGGCCTAGAAAGGTGAGTTTATAATATATAGCTTGGGGTCTTGGACTGACCTAGTCTTGCATATATAGGAAGTAGGAATTCTTTCACTGCTTTTCCAAATACTGTCATTTACCATGCACTCTAGTACATTTTACTATGTAAGTTGTGACAGTTTGTGGATTTTCATTGGCTATAAGATAAGGAAATCTTCTGTTTCAATCTCATAGCCTCCTCATAAAACAAGTTCTAACAAGAAAGGAGAATTTTAGAATCACTGGAGAATGTGCTTAGCAACACCGTAGTATTTCGCTCAAAAGACTCAAAATTTCCTTGCATTTATTTCTTGCTTGAAACTGTAAAGGAATGTGACATTGTTTTAGCATTATTGTCTAATCTATCCTTTTCATTCCAATCTCCTATCCTTACTTTAGATTTCAATTTTGTAACTATTTTTTGGCTTTTCTGCTTCCATTTTTGTCCTTATAAAATATGAAAATAAATTTGGTCCAGTCCATCTAAGTTGACGTTTGCAATCAATAAGCAAACACCTGTATAGTTTGAGCATTTTTTGTTGATTATGATGCCAGTTTTTTGCAATCAAGAAGATGTGCAAACCTATATCTGCACAAGGAATGGGTTTTGGGGGGAGCATTCTAGTCTAGTGCGAGAGCTGTATGGAAAAAGGTTTAGGTGCTTTGGATTCTTGATATGGGATCATCCTATTTAAGGAGGAACAACAAAGCTAGTTTGTTATTGCTGGCCACTTGCACACGAAAATATAACAGTCATTTCTTGATTAAATTCCTTTAAAATACGTAGAATGATTTAAGCTTATCAAGTTATTTTGATGTATGATTGATTCCCATATATGTTTATACGTTCTTCTACTTGGTGTGAAGGGTCACCTACTCGTGCTTCAGAATTTCAATTTTCTTCAATTGAATCATGGCTTGATGGAGGCAGCTTATCTTGACCATCCAACAATTTCTGGCTTAGAATCGTCTGATGATGATAGAAACTTATCTGTTTCGATGACAGCAACTGTAGATGCAGCAGGGAATCTTCTCATTGGTATGCTTCTTTTCCATGGCCTACGTAAATATATGCAATGGGGAGGCTTAGAAGCTATATATAGTTTTAGAAAACATTTTCTATTTTTATTTTTAATTACTAAATTGTCACTTTCTCTTTTGTTTTCAGATATTTGTACAGTGTTATTAGAAAATATTTTATGAAATCAAACATCTCCTTAAATTGCCACTCTATATGTCAAAACTGGAATTTCATGATTTGCTTTTGAAATTCTAGCTATTATTAATGTCGAATAATTTGTTGTCTTTTAAAAGGATTTCCTAACACACAAGTGCGGGTGGTGGCTGTTTTTTCATTATTAAATTGTTCAGACATGCATTGTTTTGAAGTACATAACTATTGTTATTTCCTTCATAATAGCTTTCTAGTAATAAAAATGCAGGAAATAGATCAATTTTCGCAGTTTTTATAATGTTAGCATTTGTGTGCTTGTTATTGTGAACAAAAAGCAAAAGTGATATACACTATACAGGGAGTAGCCGTGAATTTGTTGGGTTCAACACCAATTTGGACGAGTCTGTGGTCACTTACATGTGGAAGAGAATTGGCGATTTCTTTCCCAAATTGAAAACGCTTTCCCTTTCAGATTGTGCAAATAGAAAAGTGAGAATAGGATTGAGACCTTACAGTGAGTCAAATTTTCTTTGCAATTTTATGCAGCTGAACTATTTATACTTTAGATACGTTTCCAAAATGTATGTAAACAAGATAAGATATTATATTTGAGATGAATAATGTTTACTCTGCAGTGCCTGATGGGAAGCCAATGATTGGAGCCGTGCCTGGCTTGTCAAATGTGTACATTGCAGCTGGACATGAAGGGAATGGCCTTTCAATGGTGAGTTCTCAACAAACTCGTGTTTATTATTATTATTATTAGTTTTCTTATAAATATTAAAAATGATTTTATTTATGATAATAAAAATTATAAATTAACATTAAAATAAAATTTAATTCTTATTAATAATTTTTAAAATAGATTTTTAATTAAGATATATATGATATTTATTTTTCAAAATTGTTATGAGATTCGCTATATAAGATAAATAAAAATGTTACCTTGAGATGAGAAACTAAAAATGTTAAGTTTTTTTTTTTTTTGAAAAAGTATATTTATTATATTAATAATGTAGAGATGTAATGAATATTATTTTCTTCAATAAAATATTACTATCTTTATTAGAAAAAACGATACTACTATCTTTATATATTTAAAGACTGATGTTAACAACTGTAAAATAAAAATGTGTTAAATGCAATATTTAGAAGGAAAATCATATTTAAAGTGTTTAAATAATTATTCCTTATCTTATATAAAAAAAACTAAATATAAAATAATTTTCATATGTATACTATATTTTTTTATTATGATGTAATTAATGCATGTTATATTTTAAATTATGTTTCTAAAAAAAAAATTCAATCACAACATTTAAATAATTATGTAGTAAAAAATAATTTCTTAATTTTTCATGAGAACTAAAAGTTAAAGTATCTAATTAAGAGTATCTAACTATAAATATATTTTTATAAGCAAAGAGTATTTAATTTTTGAATTAGCACTCTATTTATATGTATGATATTTAAAAAGTATCTAACTATATTGTTATAATTAAAGAGATAAAATTGTTAAAAAAAAATAATAGTCAAAATTGATGGACATCAATTTTTAAATTTCAAAAAAGAGATAAAAATTTGCTTTTACACACATATGTCAGGATATGTTGATACCAAATATTAGACATTTACATCTCTTAATAACTTTTCATAAAATGTAAGATTGACAAATCTAATTATTGATTTAAAATTTTTTATAAGCAGATCAATTTTATAAAATTTCGTAAAAAATAAAATGAATAAGTATGTTATCTTATTATTTTATTTCATTGTGTAAGACTTTTTAAAATATAAGTAAATATCAAAATTTGTATAACACACCTATAAATGTCCAAATTATATATATATATATATATATATATATATATATATATAAAATCATAAAAATTATATAAAATTATTAAACAATGTAAATATTTAAATTTAACTTTATCTTAATAAATATCAACTTTCTCTCCCTTTCTCACTTTATGTATGTGTGTTTTTATGAATTATATGGGTATTATAAAAGTAAATTAAATTTTTTGAATAAAAATTAAAGATATTTCATGTAAATATTTTTAAATTCAATAAATTTTAAAAAATTAATTAATTTTAATAATAAATAAGATATATTTCACTTAAAAAGAGTGATGTAACATATACGCGATGAAGGTAGAATTTTGTTGTTGTTGTTATAATTATTATAGAAAAGAACTTTATTTGTTATCACATTAACTGTGTACACAGCACGCAATTTGAATAAGCATTTAGAGAAGTGTTCTAACTATGAAGAAATTTTCAGGCTCTGGGGACTGCTGAAATGGTAGTTGATATGGTGTTACGACATCCAACAAAAGTTGATAGCGCTCCTTTTGCTGTGCATCGATCGAGTTATTGATTAAAATGTGTAGACATATGGCCACTTAGAATTCTTATTCATAATTTCTGATCGTATTATGTTAATGGTTAAGTTTCTCTTTGTAGTTACTCCTTTTCTTAAACAGAGGAGGAGACACCACACCTCGTGCATACAGAAAAACAAGTAGCGATTTTATGTTTTGGAACTTTGGAGTGTGAAAGTTAAAGATAAAAATAAAAATAGAAAGATATGTTATTATGTTTCATTTTAATAGTACTGTTGTTGTAGAATAAAATAATAAAATAGTTTTGTTTAAACAATTTTTTTTAGATTATAGTTATTTAAGTGGTAATCATAAAATGTGTAATTATACTATTGAATTTATGATAATGTTGATTAAATTTTTGGGTTTAGGGTTTAATAAAATAAGTTAAATGATAAAAATATTGTTAATGAGGATTAATTATTTTAAAAAATAAGAAAAATTATTATTTTAGTAAGAAAATACAAAATCATAATATTTTCATGTTATAGTAAAATAAAATGATAAAATAAATTATTTTTTTAGAATATATTTATTTAAGTGCGATAATTATAAAATGTGAGTTATTATTATTATTATTATTATCATCTTAATTAAATTTTAATCTGTTATTCTTTTGCAATAAATATTTAGATTTAAAATAAATCTAAAGTTTATTTTATGAGCATTATTGACATGACATTGTAAAATAAGATGATAATTTTTTTTTGTTTAAACAATTTTTTTTAGAATATAGATATTTAACTCATAATCCTAAAATGTTTAATAACATTATTGCTATCTTGAAAATATTAATTTAATTTAAATATGTTGATTTATTTAGAAATATTTTAATTTTATAAAATAAATTATTTGATTTATTTTAAATATTTGTTTGATTTATGTTAAATAATTTAATAAAATAAGTTAAATGATAAAAATATTGTTAAATTTATTTATAAGTATTAATTATTTTAACAAGTTACAAAATTATATGAAAAAACAATAATTTTAGTATAATTGTAAAGAAAATATTAAATGATAGTTAGCTTTAATTAGTAATTAAGTCAGTTAAATTATTAGTTAATTAATTCAATTGTAAAGCCTAAAAATTATACTTTATTTATACATAATTTAGCATGCTAACTTGATTGTATGTATATGATTTGGATATATTTTTTATTTTTTTAAAACTTAATTCTCTAAATTCTCATTCACTCATATACCTTTTATGATATCAAAACTCAACCCATCAAAATAGTCAAATTTAGTAATAGTTTCACAATTTATTGTGTAACCTTTTTTGACACATGTATCCATCAAGTTAAACGATGAGAATTTTCTTACATAAAAGCAATAAGACTCAAAAACAATCAAGGTATTCAAACTTCAAAGGTTTATTTTTGAAATAAAATATGGTAAAAAATCAAGAAAGTATCTTAACAAAGAAGATGAAGTTGCAGCAAGAATAAGTGATAACTACATAAATTAAGAACAATAAAACCAATTGATCTTGACATGGTTACTAGCATCCATGTCTCCTAATCTCCACAATTGAATGGTGAGGTATGAACATTTTTTTTAAATCTGAAAGAAAACTTGAAATTTTCTTTGCAATTACAACCAAAGTAGAAGTAAGTTAGTTGCATCAACAACTAAAGAAAATTAAGAAAGTTGATAGAATCAACAACTATTTACTTTTAATCAAGAAGATTGCAAATACCTTATCTATTGTAGATTTAATTATTGATGATGTTGAGTATATTTAAGTGATTTTTGATGTGCTATCTAATGAGTATAGCCGTATAGTTACTATTATAATATCCAAAATTGATCCTATTCATGGGCAAGTGTACCTTATAGCAACCAATCATGTCATACTTAATCCTACAAATTTGTTTGGCAAAATTGTATACAATGGAGGTATATATATAAAGATGGCTAATGGAAAAGTATCCAATATACAACATATTGGTAACTCATTCTTTTTTCCCTTAACAATCTAAAACCTTATTTTCTACACAATCTTTTACATGTTCCTAATATTTTCAAGAATTTACTCTAAGTGTGTCTCAATTTACAAGAGAATGCAAAGTTTATTTTAAATTTTATGCTAATAAATGATATGTTAAATATCAGGGAGCACATCAAATTATTCTGGAATGGAGGCTTAGAAATGACTTATATGCATTTGATCACATTTATCTTTTCACTTTTGCTTGTTCTTTTGCTATTACTAGAAGTAAAAGTCATTTATCTACTTAAAACAATCCTCTTTTGCATAACTTTGTTTTTTTCATAGGAATAAAAATGATTATGTATTGCTAATGGCAAGTTAGATTAAGATACGTTTAATCAAAAGTCACTTCTTATGTTCTTAGAAATTGTAGAATTCAATTTGATTAAAGTGACATTTTATCTATAAGCAAAATATGTTATTTTAGAAAAGTTTCATAATCCACCCTTTATTAATTCTAATTTTAAATACAGCCAACTATTACAACTAATATACTCAAACACATGGGGATTTACAAATATCCAATCCACGAATGAGAGTAGATATTACCTCTATTTTATAAATGCATATTCAAAATAATATAGATCTATTTACTACACAACAAATAACAAACATGAAATTGTTTCATTCATTTTAAAAACATCATTAAAAATTAACTTGAACATAAAATTAAGGTGCTATAATTTGATAATGGAAATATATCTCTATCAAAATTCTTAGTGATCATAGTATAATACATATATGTAGTTGTCCATATACATATGAACATAATAATTTAACTAAAAGAAAACATAGGCATATTACAAAGATGAATGTCTTTTAACTAATACCTCTATGCAACTCAAATTTTTTTGTGGTGTTTTAAAAAATTGTATATATTATAAATAGACTTTCAAGATGTGTTAAAATATTGTTGTCCTCTAAAAACACTAATTTATCAAACACCTAATTACAATGACATTAGAGTTTTTGGATGTGTTGTATCCCTACATTTGTCCTTATAATAAACATAAAATTTAATATTGATCTAAATTGTATGTTCAATGGATACAACTCATATCATAAAGGTTATCTATGTCTTGCTCAAAATAGTAGAGTTTATATATTTAGGCATATTAAATTTAATGAGCATACATTTCATTTTTGAGACAATCCTAATCTTTTTATTAATCAATCTTCTACGTCTACTTCTACTAAGTTTGTTCCTACTATACCTTTAATTTATGCTACTAATTCATTCTTTGTATTACATGCAAATCACTCCTTTATAACAACTCCAACTGCATCTAATAAATCTTCAATTTCTACTACATCTTACTATTTTTTAACAACTTGCAACTACTATAAATACAAAATTAAATATTCAAATATTCATCCAATGAAAACAAGGAGTAAGTCACTAAACCTAAGGTCTACTTTGCTAATCAAGTCACTGTGAATAGTCATGAAATTGAACCTACTTCAATTAAGAAAGCCTTACCCAATGTGTCAAGATCGACATCTTACTTAGGATTGGGAAGGGAGGGTCAAAAATTGTAAATCATGAGATTGTAAGATCCTATTAAACATGTAAAAACTATACTTAAACACACACACACATATAAGCATAGAAAATAACATGCACAAGAAAATTAACATCTAAATCACATAATTTAATTAAACATAAACTTAAAAATCATAGATTCAAGATCCAATATAACATATAATTGGTCAAATTAGCATTAATCTGTTACAATAAATTTTACAAGCCCCAATCATGATGATTTAATCATCTTCCAAATAGTTTTTTTTTATCAATATCATCTACATTGACCTCATCATCATCATTAACAGGTCGAAGGTCTAAATCATTCATAGGTGCACTTGCACTATGAACAATACCACTACTTGCTTTTTCAACTTGAATCAAGTTCTCATCTAAATTAATGTATGATCTTAACTTATTCTCCTCCTCTACAATCCAATCATCATCAAAAGCGACATCATTAATGTCAATAAGTCCATTTCTCCTCTTGATACTCTTGTCTAGTTTGAGTTTGTCATGACAAATACATCATTTATCTTTTTTTTTTTTTTGGCTTTAAACAATTTCTTTTCTTGGTGTGAACCTAAATATCAACAAAATTAATTAATAATTTAACATAATAATTAAAGTAGTTCACTTAGTAGTTTTTAAGAAATAACTTATTTATCATTTTAAAAGCACTCCAATTTATGCTCACAACTAGATGAGCTATATGTCAAGTTTAATACATGAACGACAAATCTTTGCAACTCTTGATGTTCTCTCCCATAAGATTCTCACCATTTTGCTGGAGTTTTGACTTTCATTCGAGTAAATTTTCCTTTTGTACCAAAATATCATTTTTTAGCTTTGAAATACTATAGTTGACCATTAATCTTTTTCACTTTATCCATGTTTTCTACTATTCTTTCTAAACACTTGTATCATTCACGCTTAACTTCAAAATCTAGAACATAATGCAAAATTAGGTCAAGGTAGTAGCCTACAACATGCAATTGGTTATCCCATCTCATCAATTATCTCTTATAATGACATTAAACTAGAGATGAAGGAATAAAAAAATGAGTTTTCAAATTAAAGCTATAAATTATTAAATTGAACTAAGGTCTAATATACATTTTTTTTAATACCATTGAAGTTGGTTTCAATTTTCTCCTTGACTTAATCCATTTCCTCATAAATGAAACCCATGATTGGCTTGTCTTTTGAATCCATCATACGCAACACTCTAATTAATAAATAAGCACATGTCAACCAATTCAGGATATCTTTCCAAAACTCCTTATTTATAACTAGATTTTCAACAATTATTTCGTCCTTAGTTTTGGCAAACTTACTACCCTTAAAGAATAAAAACATTCTCAATAATGATCCTTTATTATTATTCAAGCATCCTAAAGTCAAGTTAGAAGTTCAAAACGTGTAGTTGCAGGTCTCAAACTTCTTCAACAACATGCATCATTTCTCAAACCTTGCTTAAAAATTAAATTGATTGTAGCTTGGGTGGTCACTTCCCTTTTCTTAAAAAGAGTTATTGGACTCTTAATATCACCTTATGTTTTTATTTTGCCTACATTTTCACATTCACCAACATCACCTTATATTGCCTTTCATTTAAGCTCTTGCTGTGTGTTTTTTTTCCTTGCAATTTAAC